TTTAGTTTTAATCGAGTACAATTATCAAAAATTTATATCAGGGCATACAAAGGAAAGTTTTTGAGTATTAAGTTTAGGTCCTATTTTACAATTAGAGGTCTTGTTTTATTGATATATTTTCTAGTCTATGCATCTCTTTTGTGTACATATCACTGTGAAGTCATGAATATGACGTACACCGTTTTCGAGGGTATAAAAAAATTTAAATTTTTTATTAAATTTTTAGGCAAGAAAAGGTGTTTATTTTACTGAAATATTTGTTACACGTCTTTTTTAAATTAAAATGAACAGTTAGACGTATTTTTGATAAAATAGTGTAATGTATAACACAAGCCATCACAGAAATAAAAGTTCAATAAAAGTAAAATCTTAAACACCTTTCACCCAAATCTTAAACAACAAGTTTGCACTGAATTTGACGCTACCTATATTTTTCATTGAACATGTATATTTTAAAGTGTATTTATTAGTAGGGTTGTTACATATAGCTTTTGTTTTATTGTTAACAAATAATTTTAAAAACATGATTTGATTGAAGCGCGATGAAATTGAAGTGTTTAAATTTTGTCTACTTTTGTTTCAAAAGTTAAGCCATAGGATTCAATAGCATAATTGGTAATGGAATTAACTAGTGCAAAATAAAGACATTTAAATGTATTCTTGGCTATTTTAAAATTGAGATGATAAAATTTTCCTAACAATATTACTTATTTTCTACATAATGTATTCGAATGTCCGTCCTGATCTACGTGCAATCTATATATTGTTATTGTTAGAGGGAAAAGCATCGACTTCTACTGGCATTTATTTGTTCATAAACATGGGTACAATACATTGGTGTAATAAAGAAAACAAAAGGTCAGCCATGATTCACCTTAGATGGTATATGAACATTGTAAAAATATTAATGTAATTAACATAAAACAGATATATAGATTAAAATGTCAGATATCAATAAAAAAAATAATAAAAATTTACAACAATGTCAATTAAAAATTTAAGTAATTATTTCAATTCTTATAAGTTCTTATTAAGTAAATGGATTAAAATGTTAGATTAGATAAATTAAAATGTCATATATCAATAAAAATTCAAAATTACAACAATGTCACTTAAAATCTAAGTATTAATTTTAGTTTTGTCAATTATTGTTAAACTTATCATTTAAAAACATTCTAATGTCATAATAAGCTTTTTCAGCAAGAAAGCCATTGAGTGCATTTTTAAATCGTTTATTATCGTTTATCGATCTAATAGACAGCGGAATTTTATTATATATTGTTGGTGCCATACAATTTACGCAAATTCTACTGAGAAGTTTTCTACACCTATGTGTGACCTTTAGAGTGCCCTCTCGACGACTTCCAATAGGATTTTTATCAAAATAGTGTGGGTTGCTTCTAATAAAACTTGCAATTTCATATATATACATAGACGGCAGTGTAAGAATTTTATGCTTACGAAAGTATGGTTCACACGAGTCATCTTGCATTAGTCCGAACATAGATCTTAGACATCTCTTTTGAGCTCTGAAGATGCTTTGTTTATTCGTAGTGTTAGCCCAGAAAATTATGCCATATCTAAGATTTGCAGCAACATACCCATGATACGCTATTAATAGTGTTTTAATGTTAGCAACTTTCCGTAATTTGTGAAGCGCATATGAGAATTGGTTTAATTTTTTTAATAAATTATCAATGTGGGATTTCCATGACAGCTTGCTATCTATAGTTAGGCCTAGAAATTTTGTTGAATCGACTACTTTTACCGCATTATCTAGGTAATTAATTTTAAGATTAGATGAATCATTACTACTTTGATAATAGTTCATTAAGTATGTTTTGTTAAAATTAATTGTCAAATTATTTAATGTCAGCCAATTGATTAAAGAATTAATTGTATTACATATGTCAGATTCTGTATTGCTTAAGCGATCATAATTAAATAAAATAGTACTATCGTCGGCATATAAAGTCATGTGATGATTAGTTACAGTAGGAAAGTCATTTATATATATAATAAATAGAAGAGGACCCATTATACTACCTTGAGGTACCCCATAATAGACCTCTCTCTCTCTTGACACACAAGCAGTATTAATACCAGTTTCAGGATTAATTCCCTCTAAGCGCGTGACTTGTCTTCTATTACTTAGATAAGATACAATAAGTTTGATGGCATTGCCTCTTACACCATATGCTTCAAGTTTTCTGATTAATGTTTTGTGGTGTACGTTGTCAAAAGCTTTAGTCATGTCCATGAATAAAGCGATTGTAGGCTTTCGTTTGTTTACGCTGTTAATAACTTTTCCTAAAAACTCATAAACTGCCATATTTATTGATTTACCTTTCCGAAAACCATATTGACATCCTTTAATGAAATTGTTGCTTTCAAAAAAGTTGTTAAATTTATCATACATAATATGTTCGATTATCTTTGAAAAAATAGAGACCAATGCAATAGGACGATAATTTTTTAATAACTTTTTATTATCTTTTTTATATATTGGGATAGTAATTGTTAGTTTCATTCTCTCTGGGAATATACCTTGCTCTAAGCAAAGGTTAATAATATGACATAGAATTGGTGCTATTGCAGTCGATACAGCTTTAATGATACTGGTAGAGACATCATCAAAGCCTACGCTGTTCGTATTTTTTAGAGAATGTATCGTTTTTTGTATATCAGAGGTCACAATTGGTGTAAGAAACATGGAACCACAATGATTATGTCTCAAAAAATTAGTTTTGGTTTTGTTGTCATCGGCTGTCTTAATGGAATCAATAAAAAAGTCATTAAATGCATCTGCTATTTCAGTCAGATTATTGAGTTCTATGTCATCATTGTACATAATACTGGAAATGTTTTCTCTAGGTAAGTTGTTGTTACATTTATTAATTATTTTCCATATAGATTTAGCTTTGTTTTTAGATTGGTTTATGTAGTAATCATTCTGTGACTTTTGTGTGAGATTAATTATTTTCTTGTACCGCCGATTATAATTTTTAAATAAAGATTTATTTAATGGTGTTGGAGATATACGGTATTTCCACAGTAGATGTCGTCTTTTTTTGCTACATGACTTAATACCATTCGACACCCATTTAGGTTTGTTTGTAGTTGATATTTTTAATTTTATTTTTGGAAAACAGAGTTCATAAAACAACGTAAATTGGTCGTGAAATAAATTAAATGAGTCATTAGGATCATTCATTTCATATACTTCGTTAAAACTGAGGCTCTCCAAGCAATCTTTGAATTTCCTTATATTGTCACGAGAAAAGTCGCGTCGATATGTATACCAATGTTTCAGTCGACATGATCTTTTAACCGGTATCTTGAGGATTTGTGCAGAATGGTCGGACAATACTAATTCTATTATCTCGCCTTTTGCACCGTATATGCTATGTATAATATTATCTAAACAAGTATTACTGCGTAGTCTAGTGGGTTCATTAAATTGAAATTTCAAGTCATACTTGACAGCATCAATTTAAATTCTCTAGTTGTTTTAAAATTTTTTAAAATGTCAATATTAAAGTCACCGCAGATAATTAATTTATAGTTATTTATATGAATAAAGGAACTCAATATCCCTTCTAGCTTACTGAAAAACAAAGTAATAAGTTCTACCTTAGATCGTGGAGGTCTATAGATACATATAATATAAATCTTATATTGTTTTAGTTTGATTGCTGAGCACTCAATAACGTCGTATATGGACTGTTTGACTATATTAGGTACATTTTCGTATTCAAGATGATTTTGGACTAGAATACATGAGCCTCCTCTACGTTTTTGTCTGCAAGAATAGGATGCAAGTTTATAATTAGAAACATTTAAACGAGGTATGTCATCCACTATCATGTTGTGTTCGGTTATGCATATAACATCTACTGGTGTTCCACCATCTTTTAAAGTCTCCAGGTCAACCATAAATGTATCCGACTTATTGATTAGGCCGTTTATATTTTGGTGTAGTATAAACAATGAATTAGACACGAAATAAATAGTTAGAAGAGTCGTGATTATGATTTGAATTACTCTCAACGGCTTTATTGCAGTCAGCGGGCAACCCTATCTGTCAGTTAGTTGTCGTTGTCATTTTAGACTGCCGTTATATTTTATTTTAATTACTTGAGTTTGGCAGAATTGTGCGAAATGCGCAGATAAGCCATTAATAAAAGAAGAAGAAGAAGATCAGTTCGTGCCAATATGCTGGCGGATTGTCTTCCATGAAAAACTATTGGAATCGACATGGTGATTTTAAATATATTATTTATATAATATATTTAATATATACAGTTATATATACATAATATATACAGTTTATTACAATACTAGCTTTCCTCCAGCGACTTCGCCCGCATGATTCCTAGGGAATTGTTTATTTGGGTATCGATTGCTGTTATCATAGCATAGTTTTCATACATATATTTTTGGTATCTTGAACCGTTTTCGCAACGCAAGCAACGGAAGCCCTCAAGGATGAATTTTCCCCGTTTATTCCACATTTTCCATTATTTCTTCGCTAAATGGTCTATTCAACACAAAAAGAATTTTTCAATTCGCACCAGTAGTTCCTGAGATTAGCGCGTTCAAACAAACAAACAAACTCTTCAGCTTTCAGTAAAGATTAACACTTTCAATAGATTTACATTTACATTAATCAAATTTTTTGGTGATAACAATTAAACTATTGGGCAGATAGTAAGTATATAAATAAAAAAAACTGATACCGATAATAAGTACAGATTTTCGATATTGGATATTTTACATCGAAATGAAAATATCGATGAATCGATATTTTTACACAAGCCTAGAAACGAACGCGAACGCCCCAACTAATGGTTGTCATGCGATTTTGTGCAGTCAACGTTTTCTAGATTATTGTAGTAAATATATTATGTATTTATTCAAATAAATAATATGTCATGGATTTAATGAAAACTAACATTCCTACTTCTTTTGAGTGCATTTAATATTTACCAAATTTAGCAATGTCGGATCGAGCAATCGCGGTATGTATGTAATTCTCACATAGATTTCATTTTGTATTTTCGAGTGTATGTTCGAAGATACTTGAGTAATTTTCAGGATCTTGGTTCTTATCCTCTACTCAGTGTTCTCTCGGAAAAGTCATCATCGTATATTACTACGATATCCAAAATGTAGTTCCAATTGTTGGAAATGTATGGGCCATTCTTGATATAAAATATTTTTTTAAACACCGTATTGCTGTACTGTACAGTATGCTATTAATAAATTTCAAATAAGATTTGTAATATTTTGGTTGGTATTCGTTTATAGAAATCTAAAGTTATTATTGTTTCATTGATAAGATAATAGACTAACAATCTCATTACAAATCTTATTTGAAATTTGTAAATAATAGCTATAAGTTTTAAATATTAACAAAATTTTAAATTAAAGTTGTTGGGTGTTTTCAGTCTCGGCCAAGCTTCGAACAGGTAGTGGCTATAGTGGACTTTATGGAAAAGCATCCAGCACTAGCCCTTGGTCAAATGAGAGGACTCGAAGGAAGGGATGAGAGTAAAAGGCTGTGGTTCCAGCTGACAAGAATTGTCAATAGTATTAATGGGCCTACTAGACCTATGAAATCATGGATTAAGGTACAGGATAATATTCAATAAATAGGTTTAAATATAATAATAATTAGATGATCTATCAAAAATTCATTTTTAATTAAGAGTAACACACAATTACCAGTGAATTAGTTTTTGTATTAAGATGTTAAAATTAAAGGGAGCATGTGTAATTCTCACTATATAGCTACAACATGTCATGCATGTTCCAGTTTCTCTGTTATTATATTTTTCAAAGAAAGACCGATGCTGTCGTTCAAAGTCAAAGTCAAAGATCGTATTGGGACTTTCATCATAATGGTAAATCAGTGATGAAACGATGCAATTTCATATTTAGACTAATGAAGTCATTATTATAAAAATTAAAATGTATAATTTCATCATCTTAGTGTAACTCAACATCTCAGATTTTACCATTACTCATTAAACATAATTTTTCAGTATTGGGCAGATAAAAAGTCTACTGTAAGGTCTAAGGTCCTTTCTGTTGGTGACCCTAACTGCTTGTGTTCAAATATAGAGAAGAAAATATATGATTTGTTTCTTACCCGGGCCAGCATTGTTAGTGAGTAGAATTTTCCTATGCTAACCGATGTAGTGTATGTGTACATGTAGCAAACATGTGAAGTGAAATATTTATTATAATATACTAACTTTCCACCAGTGGCTTTGTACCCATGGTCCTGCATTATACTTCCTCTTGAATTACTCTAACTTTTGTCAACAACCACATTAACATTTACTGTGTAGTTTAAAAGACCTTAGCATACAGACAGCAGAAAGTGGCTTTGTTTAATATTATGTATTAAGATATCTGAAAAAAATAACATATAGGCACCAGGCTACAGCTTTTTAAAATTGACATATCTATATATATTTCAGAGTGTGAGGTTGTGTCATTCTTTCTTTTCAGAGCAGAAGAATGCTGCAGCAGAATCTGTAAAGCAAGAGTCTCATTTTCTAGAAGAACCATTCATTGATGAAAACAGTATGGATCAGAATCATGTGGAGGCAGAGCCGGTGCTGGCTTTCGAAGACCCATTCGCCAATGTTGAGAATAGGCAGATTGCAATTATGGAGAAACTGGTTTGTGAAAAATTTATAATTTAAATAAAAGTAAAAAAAATAATTGCTATTAAATGCAAATAATTTACACTCATCTTTCTTTTAATTTCGAACTAATTGATTTCATAAGCTGATATTTTTAAATGTAATACAAAGATATATAAATATGCATAAATCAAACACAGATAACTCCACATATAATGCTCAGGTTCCAAATAAAGTAGCTTAAGCACTTGTATTTTTGAAATCTGAAACAACAAAGATCTCATAGCATACAGAACTGAGATAATATAGAAAAGTTCGTTTTCTATGATCATGTGACTGGAAATCGAATCTGGGTATTACCTCATTAATATATCCTTATTCGTAGTTTTACTGATGTATTGCAAAATAGCAATCGTAATCCATTTGCCCACATGATTCTTTAAACATACATTTAATCTACAATAAAATAAAGAATGAAAATTTTGTAAATGGGTATAATTTCTAAGCATTGAAATTATGGCTTCTTTATAAGATTCAAGTTTATAAACCGTTTGTTATGTTAGGTGAAAGTGATGACTGACCAAGCATCTGCTTTGACGCAGCTTGCCCAAGCGTCACATGCTAATTCACAAGCCATGGAACGACTGGCTGAGGCCTCACAAATTCAGGTAGGTAGTTTTTATACTAAGCCTTTGCCTATTAATATATTTACTTTATACATAGAGTATTTATACATAAGATTTATTCATACGAGGGTCAAACTGAAAGTTCTTAGAACTGGCCACTTATAAACAATATAATAAAAAAATAATTCTAAAATTTGAAAATATAACTCTTTGCCAATATTACTGAGTATATATTTCATTCATTTGTCATTTGTTTTACGATTTGGCGGCAAATTGAAAATTGTCTGTGTCACGTCATCATGAATTTAACACGAGAAAATTTTCGTGCAATGATTTTTTATGACTTTCGATGTCATTTAAGTCAACAAGAAAGTTATGATAGACTACGATTGGCCTTTCACGATGAAGCCCCATCTCGTGCGACTGTTTACAACTGGTTTAATGAGTTTAAACGTGGTCGCACTAATCTCACTGATGATTTACGTGAGGGACGGCCTTCTACGGCGACGACTGAAGATAACATCTGTGTTGTGCGGCGTATGATAGAGACTGACAAAAGAGTGACCTATCAACAGATTCGGACAAGCTTAGGCATCGGTATGAGTCAAGTGCACAAAATCCTCCACGAACATTTAGCGGTCAGGAAGCTTTGCGCCCGGTGGATACCTCATAATTTGACTGAGGCTCAAAAACTCCATCGTGTGGATTGGTGTCGTAAAATGATTGAAAGATTTAACGGAGGTGACTCAAATGCTGTGTTCGACATACTAACAGGTGACGAAAGCTGGATTTACTGTTATGATCCTAAAACCAAAAGACAATCTGCTCAGTGGGTGTTTCCTTTCGAGGAGTTGCCAACTAAAGTGAAGAGAGATCGAAGTGCGGGAAAAAAAATGGTGGCCTCGTTCTTTGGAAGGATAGGTCATTTTGCAACAATTGTGTTAGAGGATCAAAAAACAGTTTCTGCAGAATGGTACACTACCAATTGTTTGCCACTTGTCTTGGAAAAAGTTCGAGAGAAACGACCTCGCAGTAGGATCCTCCTTCACCACGACAACGCCTCGTCGCACACCGCCAAGCGAACGATCGACTATTTGGCGACATCAAACGTTGAATTACTGGGTCACCCGCCGTATAGCCCCGACCTCGCGCCTTGTGATTTTTATTTATTTCCAAAAATTAAAGAAAAACTTAAAGGAAAGCGGTTTATGAATGCTGAAGAAGCGGTGGCTGCGTATCGCGATGCCATTGAAGAGACCCCTAAGGACGAGTGGGCAAAGTGCTTTTCCCAGTGGTTCCATCGCATGCAGCGGTGTATTGACGTGAATGGACAATATTTTGAAAAGATATAATAAAACTAATAACTGGCTAATGTAATCAGTTTTTGATTTTCTAAGAACTTTCAGTTTGACCCTCGTAATAAAATCAACCAGAAACACCGATTATCATGATGCGTACCCGCAGTACTTCTGCTTCAGGCTTCTTAGTAGAGTAGAATATAAATAAATGTTAGAAAAATAAAATAAAACATAGCGGCTAGCGATACTCTAAACAATTTTGATCCTATATAACTCGAAAGTGTGATGATCCTTCAAACCGTTGATCCTGGGTGCAACGGAAGTTTAACAATATCAGCATCAGCACTCCGCGTGGTGGATATAATCTCCGTAAATTGCTAATGCTTCTAAAAATGGGCGCCATTTTGGTGACAATATATTGACCGTTGTGCTCAACAGACGGTACCGTTTACAAACAAGTATTCGCTGGCGAGTACCTACGCGTATTGAGATATATATTGTCGGTCGGTTTTGTTGTTTTTGGTTGTCATTGTAAATTTTTTGATACTATGTACTTATTACGGTTGACTATAACAGCAAATGCTTTTATGATTGTACCAATAAGTAAACTTGATTTCAATAAGCATAAATATATCTAATAAAATAAATTTCATCATTAATAGGTATTCATTTATTCATGTATTGCATGTCACAAGTATAAAGATCTTCATCATCATTAGTTTCGGTTATGTTTAAAAAATCGCATTCTCTTCTGATTTAAGCGTTATTATTACAAGTTAATTATTTATTTCATACATATTAATTTTGGATCTATAACTCAGAATTAAATCGTAGAATTACTTAAAAAAAAATACTTTTCAAATAATATGGTAAATAAATTATTATTAACTCTATTTTCAGATTATTCATACATATTGCAATATTTAATAAATTATTTATTGCATTTTCTGCTATCTGTACTTTCTGTTTTCAAATGACGTCACGCGGGCGTTCTATTTTAAGAGAATTGGACGCTGATAAGCAATAATGCGTTGACCCACAAATAGTTACTTTCGGAGATTTGATGTATTGTGATAATACATAACATACTTTATTTAATAAAATAGCTTTAAGTCACGAAAGAAATAAGTATGAAAAAAACATATTTCACCATTACATTTTAAGACGCTATTTTCTCAAAATGTTATCTCTGTGAGCTGAAACATGATTGTTTATTACCGTCCAATTTTGAGTCATGTTATTTTTTAGTGAGTTGAAACGTGATTGTTTATCACCGTATAATTTTGAGTTTTGTTAGTTTTTAGTATAATTATGTTTATAATTCAATAATTTATATGTAGGCACGAGCGTTGGACCGGTTGGCTACAACGTTTGAGTCCATCGGCGCGGCGACGCACGACGCGAGGAGTGCTATTATAGACATCGATACAACCATGAAACGGTTTTATACAAACTCTCCCACTTAGCATTCACAGCACTCTTCTGAGATAGGAATAGAATAATAATAATTAAAATCCTCTATAGGATAAAGTGAAGTTAGTCGAAGAATCTCACTATGCTGCCAACATCAAGTGTTGCCACTAAACCCGTGATTAGATTTTTTTAAAGTCTGAGAAAATAGAAACAACACGCTCTGGAGGAGCCACATTCCCTTTTTTAGTTGCAACACTTAGTATAAAAACGGCAATGTGAATTGGCTAGCTAGAATATTATTTTAAGTGATTTATTTTTAATCTGTTGATTACATAATAATTTGTTAAATTCCATGCAACCCGTTAGGACCTCAATTCTGCTATTTTTTATGTAGTTTTATTGATTTAACGCAGTATGACGAGGTTTTTTTTTTTATTTTTCTGGCCGGGCTTCAAAAGAATGAACTGATGTCATGTTTTTTTATAAGGCTTTGTCAATTAAAAAGTTAAAAAAAATAAATTATTGGACTTTGTGAGTGCCGGCACAAGAAATATGAAATGTTTATTGAGGAAACGAAATAAATAGTTTTCGCTTTTCTTGCTGTGTTTGATGTTTTCTTGTGTCACAAAAAGCGATAGATATGCCGAATTTACGTAAAAATTATACTAGCATATCTGATTGTTTGAAGAAAATATTATTTTTCGACCAATTTGTGCTGGTCAAAGCATACTGAAGCGTTAATCTACATTTGGAAATATATTAAACCTAAGAACGTTATGTTAATATTTCAGTATTTTTAATTTTTAATGATTAAAAATACTTTTGTTGATTGGTGCATCCGAATTTACGAAGCAATATTAAAATAAAGTTTATGATTCATTTATGTTGATCGCTCCTCGATGGCGGACTAAGGCCCCGTCTCCAGATCTAACTCAGTTAACGAAAACTAAATCACGAAATTGCACATAAACTATAATTTACATATTTATAAACATAGAGATTCCTATTTTGAGTTTTAAAGTCGTACGATTATCTTAAAATTAAAAGTCGTCATTTACCCGCCATTGTGGGACGTCATTGTGGCAACAACTGTCAGATTAGTCATAAAGATATACCTATTAATTATAAATCAAATTCCTAGATAGCGCTGTTCTTAGCTTAGTTGTATCTTTTGTTCTTGTTTTATTGATATTTTTTAGTCTTGTACCCTATGCATTTGTTTTGTATCACAGAGACGTCATGAATATGACGGACAGTGTTTTCGCGGGTATAAAAAAGTTTAAATATTAATTTGATTTTAAGACAAGAAAACGTATTTTTTTCCGAAATATTTGTATTATGACTTTTTTAAATTAAAATAAACAGTTATAATTATTATTTCAAGCGGAGTAGAATACCCTTTGAAAGTGTTACTTTCCTAGAATTTATTTAAATCTGTAAATAAATTTAAAAGTAATTTTATTAACTTGTGATATTTACATAATGTGCTATTGTTTAGCAAATGCAATGTGAGTTGTTCTAAGTTCAAAGTATGTATTCAATTAAATATGAAGAGAATGATAAAAATAAGTCTCGTTCAATAAGTTAGATGCGGTCCATTATATGGTTTCCCGTAGATTTACGAACCGATGCCATATCTTTAGACTTTCATAAGTTCTTGTTAAAGTCTAGACTGAATAAATGGTATTAAATATGAATTTCAATATTAATTCAGATGTTTTTTTCGTATTATGACGACTTAGATTCATGCTATATAAAGCATAAATCTAACAAGACTTTAAATGGGATTTGTTAATATCGACAATTACAATAATATTATAAATTTAAAGTAGTTTTTAAGTTTTAGAAATAAAATGTTTTTATAAATTGTTTATGGTTTTATTGTTTAAAATGATAAATAAATATAATATAAGACAACATTACATACATTGCTCAAATTCCAAGATGAGTTTCTAAAGCCCCTGTATTATGGAGTATCTGAGACAACAAAGGTACCACAACATTTAGACCCGAGACAATAGAGAAAATGTTCATTTTCTACATTGACATGAACCGAAACCAAGACGTCATAGATTGCGACACCTTATACAAAACGTTCTAAGACTGTCTCACTTAATTTACAGCTTTGTGGGTGTTTGATGAGTCAACAATTTATATTATCCTTGGATCTCATGGATGCTGTTAGTTATGATTCGATTCATATTTGTTAAATGGACCAGGATAAGTGTGAAAATATCCCCAGTTGATTTTAAACTTTATCTTCAAAGTATTAAGGAGAAATTAGACAGATTTTTTTGTCTAATGTGTTGTTATCTGTACAAAGCAAGTGTTCGATGTAGCGTTGGAACCCATTTCACGAGCAGACTTTCTTCTCCTTAGACGAAATAATAGAAAGAAAGATATATTTAGATATAAATTATAAATTGTAAACATTTGATATTGTATTTATATTTGGTGGATCTTAAAAGATTGGGAATTCGTGATCTAACTACATAGGTATATTAGGCTCGATTATTTTGTTATCCAAATGGTTTTCCTGATGAGTATCGAACTGGAAGTATAAATTGGTATGTTGTGTCATGTTGAGCACAAAGACAAAAAGTAGACGAAATCAACGAACGAGGGCAAAAAGATCCCGGATCTTTCCGCCCACTGTGTTTTTTACCAGGCCAACCAAGCTTCAACCTGTCCCTCACGACGGGGTGGTTGGAGAGCAGTTTAGGTGTTTCCTTTGCGTTGCCAAAAAGGTATATATACAACGCAGTAACTCAAGTTATCCAACGAATCAATTTTTAGTACGACAGTTTTAGCCGCTGTGGCGCTACCCTTACGAACACCTGTAGCAGATAAACTCTGCTAATAAATAAGACTACCTTTTAAACGGTTTCATTGCGTTTGTATTTAGTTTTATTTACGTTTCGGACCCTTTACTAAATTACGTGAGATGTTTAAGGGGGGAGGGAGTCGAGTCAAATCTCATCTAATCTCACGTTGGAGAGTGGGGGGTCTCGGCAAATATCACGCAATTTTTAAAATAAGGCTCGGTGCGGGGAATCCCTCATAGAGAGACAAGTCTAAGATTAAGATCATTCACTAATTCGTTGGAAAGAAAATAATTTCATTCGTACTTTGACATAATACATCACTCCTGATTGTCAAACCACTATAGGTACTCGTTTTATACCAAATAGCTCAATTTAATTTGAATTTACGGTACAATGTAGCCCGTCCTTTGTTTTCGCGCCACAGTCAGCTGAACGTGTGACTCGATGAATGAGAGCAATATTGATTACTAGTCTCTAACTAGTCGTAAATAAAAGTACGAAGCGAATTATTTTTTTTTCTTTTTATTAAAAAAATCCAACGTGTTTAAATAAGAAACCCACATTTTGAAAAATCTCACGTGAGATTTGGGGATGGGGGAGGGGATTGAATAAAATCTCACAACATCTCACCAGGGGGGGAGGGAGGGTCAAAAAATTTGAAAAATCACCTCACGTAATTTATGGACCTTTGAATTAGCTACCTTCAAAAAACAATACCTACTATTGGACACATTCACATTAAATAAATTATATATATGGCAACATTTATTAAATTAAATAATTTTAAAAACACTTTTGACTTATTTATTTACCCCTGGCTACAGTAATCTACCACCAGTTCCAAATTTGGGAGACTTGTCTGAGAAGAACTGGCGAAACAAACACCGACAAGATAAGTGAATTTGCTCCCTTTGATTTAATATTTACAGAATTAACTAATTGTATCTTTTAGTTTTGCAATGTGTGATCTGGATCGAGAACTGGATCTTAAGAAAAAATAAAGGATCTTACCCTTCGCATTCCGCGTTCATATTACGGGGAATCCCGTCTAGTAAGTCTTAAGATTGCTACTTAAGGCCGATGTTGCCAGTCAAATCGGGTTGGTTAATTTTCTAGCTGAGACTCTATACTCAATCTAATAATAAATATTATAAATGTAATTTGACATAATTATATTAATCGATTATCAAGATATATATCCGTTGATATTAATCAGCGAACCCTGAATAATAATGTTGGATTTTAGGTAGATAGTACAATGGTAAAATGAAAGAGTTAATATTCTATTACTTATTACGTTAAGTTCTAATCCTTTGAAATAAAATAAAGGTGAATTTAACCGGGATCTTTTTTGTGTTAATTTTGTTATTTCCTATTTAAGTTAATTTTCGTTCAAAAAAATGTTTCCAACGGTTTCCAAATCAAATATCTGGTTCATTTGTGTTAACATACCTACAGCTATGAAAGAAAGCTACCATTATTAAAATAGTTGTTCCTTATTTTTTTCTTGAAGCTGGTGTAAGTAGGTCTTTACGTTCAGTGAACCCTTATACGTTCAATTGTTTATACAACAAAATGAGACGATTTATCTAAGAGCGCGTTCAGACGACATGCGCCTGTTTAGGCACACTCGTCTCACTCATTTGAAATTTGTATATAATTTGAGTATTATTAATAGATGTCAAATTGCATTTTAACGCTGGAAAACAAACACACAGTTATCTACAAAAACAAAAGTGATCTTCAGAGCACAATAAGTTTTTGTTAAAAAAAAATCTTATGAACAGTTAAATTACTCCTATTCGAAATACAGAAATAAGATTTATCTTAATAAAAATTATTCTACTCTGAAGACCAATTTTGGGTTAGCGGGCTACTTCATGATTGATTTCCAACTTCGATTTATAGAAATCTACCCGCATACGCTTATTTTACATAACAAATCTCAAAGCGATTTAAACAGCCGTGCGTTTGCCTCTTTGCATCTGGTTTAGCGGGCGCGTGTCGTCTGAATGCGCTATAACCGATGTTATCTAATGATGCCTCATTCAATGGAAATGTTTAGATTGGTTTCATCAATTTTGTTTTGAACGCATAAATAGTCTAGAAGAAGGAAAATAATGTTATTATGTTATTATTGCAACAGCTCTCAAGAGTTCATTATCTGTTTTAGAAATGTCGCACGCTGTATTAAGGGGGTCTCCTACGGCAAGTCAGTTGTATTTAGATACAGTATTAGATACCACAAGGGAAAATTTTAAAAATGGTAACGATAAAAAAGAAAGGTGTCAAGTTAATCTAGCCGAGATCATATTTTACTCGATGAAACGAAATATGGATGGCGTTTACATGGTACGTTGAAATTTATTCTTTGTCGTAAAAATAAAATAATAATATAATTATTTATTGAGCAATTCAATATAAAATAGTCTAACGCATACGTTACCATTTCCAACATATTTCATAAATTATTCTTATTAGGTCAAGTACCTTTTCCCTCACGACTTTCACAAGTGCTTGTAACAGCTCAGACTGAATAAATAATTTTGATTTTGATTTTTTTTTACTTCTTGTCGCTTTGGTGTGATTGATACTGGTTATGGCATTATAGAGATTGACAATTTTATTTTTGAGCAGCTGTATGATTTTTAGGTACTCTTTAGTTAATTCAGGCTTGGAATTGATCATTACCGGATTTCATCGAAGTCCTTTCTCTAGTTTTGCGTGAAATAGTAACAAACAGGCGTACATCCATACACCCTCGCATATATTCATATTCTTTATATTGAACCAGCTAATAATCAAACATATGTAATGCACTTTGCCCACTTTTGGTAGCAGCTTGTTTAGAAGTTGTTTCTTTGTTCAAACCAATCAAGTTCGTTGACGTATAGCTTACGCGCCCTCTTAACTGCATTTCTTTGTCTGTAATTTTTTTTTATGTGTAATGATTGAACTTTTATTTCAAAAATTGTAATTACCACTGAGAGGTGGGGACCTGGTGTCCTGTGCAAACAGGTTTTAATTACCTAAAACAGGCAACAGCGATCGACAACCAAAATTAGGTTAAAGATTTATTGTATTTTATAAGTATAATAGTTTGTGGAGAGAAATAAATCTTATTATTATTATTAAACCTTATTATTACCTATACATTTTACTCGGGCAAAGTCGCCGAAAAACAATTTATGAGTAGTATATCAAATATCACCTATTTCTACAAAATATTAAAAAAAAAACAATCTATGTAAGTGAGCCTATTTAATGAAAAGGTTTGTTTCAGATTAACGGTGCCAGTGGTGCAACAATATCTAACCGTCAAATACTTAGCACAGCGCTGCCTTTAGCTCTCGCTATATCATCAAATTATGAAGCAGGCACTGTTATCATGTTACTTATGAGGAACCATCAGTACATGGCGGCTACGTATTACGCATCAATCTTTGCAAATGTTGTGCCGCTGCTTGTTGATCCAAATTCTACGGCATGTATGTTAAAATTTTTCGTTATCGTAACTAGGGATGACGACTAATTTTTTGTTATGTTATATCTTCTTTTTTCAGCTATCCATTTGACCATCTAGGCTAGGGCCGTTTACTGAATTCATCATCATCATCATCATCAGCCCTTTTACGTCCCCACTGCAGGAGCCCAGGCCTTCCTTATGGATGGTTAAGGAGGATGGGCCATGACCCTCCACGCCGGCCCAATGCGGATTGGAGGGTATTAACGACTGCAAATGTAGCCAGGACCAACAGCTTAACGTGTCTTCCGAAGCACGGAAGTTTCTCGAGCTACTCGAGATAATAACTTTTTGGTCACCCATCCCGTGACCGACCCTTGCGAAAGTTGCTTAACGACTACGATCGCGGGCCGCGACGCTTATCCACTACGCCACCGAGCTACTTACTACCTTTACTGAATTACAAACTTTTTTTAACAAAATCCTATTGATGTCGCCCATCTCATGTATGAACTTTTCTTATGGATAAAATTCAATTAAGAGAAACTGTGCGGCTTATGAATATTAACGACTGCAAACAGCCGGGACTAACTGCAGTTTGACGTGCTTTTTAAAGTACAGATGAGCTTAAGATAATAAATTTCTGGTCACCCATCCTATTAATGGCTTTTGCTAAAGTTGCTTAACTTCTTCGGGACGATGAAAGCTATTCATTATCCTATTAATGTGGCGTGGTATGATGGTACGTTGCTTTGCAGATAGATGCGATTTACATATTAAATCTTGTAGCTAGTGTCTATTAGATTGAAAGTGTTATAATTCTATTGAGATTACATTTTTTTTAACATAGGTGAGATCCGCGAGTTCTTTGATTTGGTTTATCCATGTGCGGTATTCTGTGATCATGACATATATAATGACATCAAACAAATACTAAATGAAATGGGGCATAGCGCAACAAAAATTATTATATCTGATGACCCTAACAGTTTGAAGGCGTTCTGTAGGTGTGTTAGTGAGAAGAATATTAATAAGTGAGTAGACTAAATATAAAAAATAAAGCTTCTAATTTATTTTAATTGAAGAAAAATACTTAAAAGATCTTGTAGTCCCATGTATCGGCTATGGGATCTGAACCCATAACAGTGTGCAATACGGGCGACTGCTCTGACCTAGCTATCCGAGATCTCGCAGGACGTGCGAATTTGTTAAGCGTATATTTTTTTTAATTTTCTTGCTTTCCTTTCGTCATATTTTCATAAATGTTTAGGTTTTTATAAATATTTTTCTTTCAATATTGCATTTAAAATACTATATTGATCAAATATAACAATAAATCTTCCAGTGGTACCTAATTATCGTACCCTAAATATACATTACCTACAGTTCCAAAATAATAGTTGAGAGATCAACAATCATTAATGAGTATTCAGTAAACACTGGTACTCATTATCAGTACCAGTTTTTACTGAATGAACCTACACGTTAGTGTACGAAAATTATAATAATACTAAAGTTATTAATTTACTACGATCAGTATGGTTTGTAATCAAAAGAGATAGTAATAAGTTTATAAACAATGTTTTATCTACAAAAAATAAAGGCACGATAATATCGCATTATCAGATTTTATTTATGCTGAATCCTATTTTACTCATCCCGTAAAATCTATTAAAATAATTGCTTCTTCAATAGACTTCACAGGCTTTCACAGGCGACGCCAGAAACGAACGCTTTGCTGATGCTTACCAGTGGATCGACCAGCAGTTCTAAAGCTACAATCTTGAAACATGGAGGTCTCGTGGCTCATCTGCCGACCGTATGGTATACATTTTTACATTTTTATGTATCTCCAATATTTAGTTACCAAATTTCCATTCGTCGAATAAGTTAAAATGAATAATACCCACTGAATTTCTCACAGGGTTCATCATAATAGATTTCCGAAGCCGGAAAAATTGGCTCTTCTCCTGTCTTCAGCTCAATGGATGACGAATACTGTTATGATGCTAACTTGCCCTGTATACGGAGTGAGCTTATTGATGACACCCAAGAAGCCTACCGTACAACATGTTCTTCATATAATAGAGAAATATCGAGTGAGCGTCATGGTTATATCATATAAAATTAAAATTATTACTCTTTTCAATTTGTCAAGAATTCTCGGAAAAATCGGTGAACATACATAAAACCAGTTATTATAAAAAAAAAACAAATGTGACGATCAGATTCTGGAAAAGAAATGACATGGAACCACCTCGGGTCATACTGTCTGATATAAAAAGAACTTTTAAAATCGATCAGCAATTCGTGGAAAAGTCGGTGACCATACATAAAAAGGAATAAAATAAAAAAGAACATACTTACAATACATGGCCGTCGTACATAGAACCTCTGCTATTTTGATTTCGAAGTCAGTTAAAAACTGTTATCTTTTGTCATTTAAGCCCACCTGGACATTACTTGTGCCGTCTCATGCTAAAATTCTGGCTGCATCAGCGTCTCCGAGCCAACTAAGTTCTTTGAAGACTGTGATAACCACGGGAGCTCTTCTAACTAAAAATATTGTCATGTCGCTAAAGGTAGATACATTTTTACTGTTTATTTTAAATTAGAAATGGGAGAATCTTAGGAAATTTTTTCACGTTAAACCATTTTATTCCAGGAGAAACTTCCTCAGTCAGCATCTTTGAGAAATGGATTAGGAATGACTGAAGCCCAAAGTTTTATAACAATATCCGATCTTAATATGCACTGGACATCTAATGGGAAAATTGTTAACGTTATGTTGTACAAGGCAAGTTAAGAAGTTAAGTAGTAAGAACGCTGTTTTGTGCCAGCCGTTAAAAGTTTTTCACCAGGAAGAATAGCATCGATTACTAATTTGAATGAAAATATTATTTATTCAAATAAGATATTGAAAGCCCTTTTGAATCGTCCAAGATTTTCTATCTATCAACCAAATAGGATGTTTTTGAATGATAAAAATTGGCGCAAGATACTTGTTCTGAAGTAGTGGTAACGACATTTAGGTACCTTTTACAATAAAATCATATACAAAAACTTTATAGTTTAAGAATTGTTATATTACAGATTGTCTCTGAGGACGGAAAAGAACTTGGCGCTCACGAAAAAGGAGAACTGTATCTTAAAAGTGATTTGTGCATTATTAAGGTGATTATAATATTATATGATTAGGTATATTTTGAGAGGAGATACTTCAGATATGCTGTGTATAGTAAGCTATATACTATTTTACACTACGCAGTCTTTGTTGTTTCCAGGGTTACTACAAGAACCAAGACGCTTATATGGAAACAGTAACTACTCATGGCTGGTACAAAACTGGTGATATTGTTTACAGAGATGAAAATGAAAATATTTATTATGTTGTCAAAAAAAAGTTTTGGATCATGTATCAAAATTATTATGTCAGTATCAGTTAAGTTATATACCTTTTTGATATCCTATACGGTTAATTATAATAGTTATATGGTATAAAAAATAGCTATATATACACGCTATCAAAAGTTAAGGGAATAATAACGCGATTCTTGAATGTATAACGTTTTGCTAATATCATTCATAAGGAGATAGATTCATTTCTTGACGGCGGGTTATATCTACGTCACCGAGTGCGCATTTTTATTTCAATAGTGGGGACGTTCGTCTTGCAGCTCAGGGATGCAACCGCTTAACTCTAGCCATAGGATACATACAGGCTCTTAAAGATTAGCGATATGTACTTTAATAACAGGCTCTTAAAGATTAGCGATATGTACTTTAATAGTGACAAATGAATGATAAATAATGATGATTATAGATTTGACAGCAGCGTTTCTTAAGTCAAGAAGAACTTGATATCTATGTAGAACGCATTTATCGAACTACGTTCGTTGTTATAAGGTGGATGGACCATGGAAGGCCACACTAACGAACAAACAATTTTTCTTAGTTCATTTACAAGTTAAATGAAAGCAACTTATTATCAAGTAACGCTTTGTTTTATTGTGTAACTTGAACATTGTGTCTTTTTATTCTAAATCATCACAATTAATTAAATATTACTTTCATTGAGCTCTTTCAAACGGCCTTGCAAGGCTCCGCAAGACCAATATTATAAATATTCTCGATCGGCCATTACTCTCCCCCGACCTGAACATAATTGAAAATGTATGAGGATGGCTGTCACGTAAAGTTTGTAAGAACAGTAAACAATATAACACCAAGCACGAGCTCTAGAAAGGTATAATTAAGTGTTGGAGCAAATTACCAATTACATTTATAAGAAAACTATACGACTCAATGCTATCCCGTATTTTTATTTAATTCAAAAGAATGGAAAAGGCATTGATTATTTATCAATAAAAAATGTTAATAATAAAATGTAATAATAATATATATTATATTTTATTTAATGGTCGTATTCAAGTGGCGCGGCACATTGTTTTTGGTGTTCAATTGTTTATAGTTAAACGTGGCATGTTTTAAGATTTAAATACCTTTTATTTCTAGATATTTATTTTGATTCATATTTTAAAGAGCAAAGGAAAATGCACTGGTCCTATTCATGTGGCACGGTGTGTATATCATTTGTCTGAATATCACAGAGCTGGGTACTAAGAGGAGCTTCTTTAGTGAAATATTGCTATAGTAGGAATATTTTTTCGAAAGTGTTATTGTATGACTTATACAATTCGTCACTATAATTGATGGAATTTTCTGTTTTGTAGATAGTACCGGAAGATGTGGAAGAAGTGGTTAATTCCGTGGATGGGGTTCAACAGAGTGTAGTATTCGAGACTACCAATGGTCCAGCTGCTGCAGTGGTCTTGCAAGAAGATAACGTTGATAAAAAAGATGAAATAAAGGAAAAAATACACCAAGCTGTTGATTGTGAGAGATATATTAATGATGATTATTTAAAAAAAAATAACTCTGGAATTTATGAACTTGTGACAATTAATGTAAGGGGACTAAATAATGTAGATGTAATTTTAAATGTTTCAGCTACACTCTGTGATCACAAACGTCTACGTGGAGGAATAGTGTTCGTCAACTCTATACCGTGCACGCACAGCGGCAAGATCAAGAGGAATGAATGTAAAATATTTGTAAATACCATCACACAAAACGGTACGCGTTGATTTTGTTGGTTAAAAAACAATTAACAATTAAGCATACATATAGCCAGTTGCACAAACATCCATTAAAATTGTCATTAGTTTAAGGCCACATTACCCATACAAATTTGACATTCATTAGAAGCTAAAGGCGCCATTAAACCTTAGTGGACGTTTGTGCAACTGACCGATAGCTACATTTTAGGGCTTCTTTTTTATTGTAAATTTTTTTATTTTGGTAATAATTGTCAGTTTTTGAAAAAAGTAAATTAAACAAAAAGATGAGAGGGAGTCATTTATGAAAGAATTTAAATTAAATGTATTAGATATTGGATTAATTCAAAGTATTTTAGCAGAGCCTAACTCTATCATTGCGCAAAAACTATGTGAATTACTCATAAATTTAAGATAAACTAGTAAATGCTGTTAAAAATTCACTAGTGAAATATTGTTATAAAATGAATTTAGATTTAAGTATGGTATGATGGAGTTGGCATGTTCTAAAGAATAAAAATCCTTTAATAAATAAAAGAAAATAAAAAACCTCTAAATTTCTTAATTTTTTGATTCTAGTGAATGCGTTTCTGAAGTCCAGTGACTATCGCGTAACTCCAAGCCCCGATTGTCCTGCCAAATTGTTGCCCTGATTGACGAAGGCCTGATTGATCAGTCAAAGTGAAGTCCTGACAGTTGATCTAACAGTCTAACATATCATTCAGTTCAGTTAGAGCTTCATTTGGACTGATAAATAAGGGCATAAAGATAATGGAACTGGATCCGATCAGATATCAGATTTAAATGGAAAGTTTTTATAGGTACGTCTTCTATTACGTACCTAATATGTTATCTTTACTGTTATTGATTAGACAGACAGTTAATTTATTACTAACGACACCGGCTCCCCCTCAGTAATCACCAACAAACCGTAAACAATTCCAATGTGCCAAAATAACCAATCAGTATTATCAGTAGCGGTGTTAGGGTAGGGCGCGGTTGGGCGACCGCCCAGGGGCGCCGGACCAAAAGGGGCGCCACCGGCCGCGGCGCCCTTTTTTCGTCCGGCGCATTTTTCTGGTTCTGTATAATGAGGAAATATTTTAAAAAATGAAAGCACTACAAAAGTACCTCTACTAGACGGCGACTCTAGCAAAAGTTGATTTTTGCAGGAAACGAATGGAACAAAGATAGTCATTTCTGTTCCTTTTATTTAAGTAAGATATTAAAAAAACTGAAATTTGAAATGTTCAAAACTTAGATATCAATACAAATACGAAAAAGTACAAATAGAATATAAGTTGTTGATTGAATTTTGAAAACTAATTTACTTTTAAACATGAAAGAAAACTGGAAGGATTGTAATGGAGAAATCAAGAACGTACCGTAGCGACATCTAGTTTGATTTCGGGAACTAATGTTTTTTTTTCTAATACTTCCTCATTTCCCACAGACAAAGATTATATATATATAGTACCCTCGCTCATTGAACAAGGACTGGGTCGGCGAAAAAAGACAAGAACCGTGAGGATGTGTTTTTGTTTTCAAGTTGCCTCACTTTCAGCATGAATTGAAAGAAAACTTAACAAGCATAATATTATATTATGGTAAAACAGAACAACATACCGATTACCAATATGAAGATATGTATTTTATTAGGTAAGATGACGTACATTGGCGGGCATTATCGTTCGGTCATTTAAGAAAATTTTCGTTTGAGCATGTTTAAACGTTAAGCTGAAGCTAAAATGCTGCAATACAAACGAATGCATCGGCAGTGGAGCCTCTGTCTGGCAAGTCAGATGAAATAGCTACTCAAGAGATTGTGGATGAAAAATCCCGAAGTGAGGCAGCAAGTAGTGTTACGATTACAGATGCTGATCAGGATAAATCTGTTATTGATGTACAACAAATACATGTACTAGATGGAGTTGATAATGTTGTCCCGAATAAAGCGGATCCAGCTACTTGGCCACTTATTCGAAATAGCAAAATAATTGATCATATAATAAGTAGTGGCCCACTGCAAACTCACTGTCACAAAGTTACAACAATTACAAAGTTATACAAAACAATTATGTGACATCCTGTTAGGGTGTTACAAGGGTAAAGAGTCTCGACCCAATTTCAATAATTAACCTGTTATTTTAACATCTTATATACTTTAGATTGTTGATTGTGTTCTGCTTCGTCAAAAATTAAAAGGGATAGATCTCGGGAATCCCCGATTATAGAAAAACACACTGTTTCTGTATGGCGGGAAAGTCGGGGATTCCCGAGAAATTAAACCGATTGAACACTACGTTCCACTCTAATGCTGCCAACCTAACAATCTACCTAAATTTAAGGAAAATTACAAGTAAGTAGGCCGGGTCGGCGAAAAAAGACATTTGTAGTATGTAGTAATAATTGAATTGCAGTTAGGGGGCGCCGAAGAAATTTCGCCCAGGGCGCTAGTAGTGCTAAAACCGGCACTGAGTATTATAATATATACTTCGAGAAACAATTAATGGTTCACAATTTTGAAATGTCAATATCGTCAATCGCCACTGAACTCTATTTAAACACTTGATTATGTATCGATAACTGTTCGGAACTTCAATGAGTGATTTCATCGATATAAAAAAAAATACGTAGCAAGTGTGACTCTGACTCGCGCACGATGAGTTCCTTACCGAAAACGAGCGAAAAATCACGTTAGTTGTATGTTGCCCCCTTAAATATTTATTATTTCTGGTTTTTAGTATTTGTTGCTGAAGAAGCAACATAAATAATTCATCTGTGGATATTTCAACTGTCTAACTTTCACGGTTCATGGCTGGCGACATACAGACAAGCAGACAGCAAAGTCTTAGTAATAGGGATCCCGTTTTACTCTTTGGGTGCGGAACCCTAAAAAATGAGTTACAGAATACTAAAACCGCAAGGTAAACGCTTGCCCACAGATCTCCGTGAACAATTCGTTTGTCCTCAGAAGTTGCTATAGTTACGTAATAAGGATGCAGATATCCCGTTTGAACGGGACCCTCGCGCAACTAACCCTAACACTAGTACCTATGTAGAGTCAAATAAAAATATTTTTACTCAAGTAATTATTCTACTCCACTGTAAATACTAGGGCAAGTTGGCAAGACGATAGTCGTCGAGTACGAATAGAATTCAAATATTTTGTTTTACTTTTTCAATAAAACCTCTTTTATAAATCTTAATTATTTATTTTCTATATTACGATCGAGACAGTAATCAGTAGATAGCCTCACGTACAGTCTTAAGTTACTTAAAACTAATATTTTAGGTAAAACATTCCTATTTCGAAAATTCGGTTGCGACAAATTATTTTTTAATAGGGATGATGACTAATTTTTGTTTGTTTGTCCGTCAGGTAGAGTGTTCAAAAATATTAAACACGTATTTTTTTCGTAATCATAAAATAACGGCGTTACATTGAGTTGAAATTTCGCATGACGTCACGTTAGAGTACGATTTCTACTCAACTGTGACGTAGCGAGCCCCCACTCCTCAACTTTAATGCCTGTTATCTAAGCTATTTCTTGTTAAATTGAAGTAAAAAAAATACGTATCTAATATTTTTCTATTATCTGACTGACGAACTAAATAGAATTGCATTTTTTTTACCCAGTCATCGTCCCTATTAGACCTGTCATTAAATAAGTATGTCCTAATAAAAAAAATATGCCACTGCGAAGTTGTGGATGTAGTCAGTTTATAATGCGTCTCTTTAAATTGTTATAAATCTTGTGATTGAATTATTCAAGTACAGATTCACATAAACTATTATGTAAAATTAAAACTCACAAAACTTACAATTTTACAGTGACGTACACAGACGGCTACACGTCAGGTTACCTCGATAGGTCATTTCTTTCCAGTTGATTTTAAACTATCCTCAAAGCATTAAGGTTTAAAGTCACATGGTCTTTGATAAATTTGTATAATCTGACATGCTGTTGGTTGCATTATTAAAAATGAGGATTATCGCTTTTGCAAATGTTCAAGTTTCATAACCTTCATAATAACACCCTTTACATAAATTTGCTATGATTTACATAAATGTAAATAATTAAATCAATGTCCATAATATAAAAAAAAAGTAAATGGCCTGTTCAAAATGATAGCTCATATTAGTCTATCTTGAAAACCGTATATCTGCAAAACCGTAGCACTTATCGAAGATTTAATTATTGTACGTGCCAATCTTATATCAGTATGTAGTTATATTACTACATACTTAGGTTATAAGTATTATATAGAGGTAAAGTTTCTTACTTTGGTTTACGGAAAGCTACATCATACGCGGGTGATATAAGCATTTATATTTGGGGTTATAATTAAAAGATCTCATTCTGTCTAATATGTTACCCCATGTCGTATGTCCTCACAATTGGACTTTTTTTTGGTGTGCTTATTGTTTGTATCTCAGACAAATGCTGGTTAACAGAAGTGCACTTAATACATATCATCATAATTCTTAAGTTTTTGTATTAGGTATTATATTTTTCCGCATAAGTTTACTTAAAGTGGCACGGAATATCACTAATACTAATCTTCGCACATTACGCTAATAACAGTCTCAGGTAGACACTGACAGTTCTTTTAGTGGTTTCCATACGAGTGATCAGGTATCACCTGAGGTATTTAAGCAATCTCGTTAACGTGGGGTTCCTCCTCTTCCTGGTTTGGTTGTCGTCTGGCTTCAAACCTTCTGTTCCTTTGCCGAAAGTCGGAGCGGAGTTTGTTGTCAGGTAAAAATTGCCCCTGGCACTGGAATTAGATCAATAAGTAGGTTATTAGCACGAATTTGTATGTAGGTAGTACCTTACCCTAGAATAATAAATAGTGTGTGTACTACACTAAAGCAACAAGCATGAAATAAAATTTATTAGAGGTATCTAAAACTCGTTTTACTGAGGACGTTGCGAAGGACAAAGTCAGATGGAGGCACCTGGAGGAGGCCTATACCCGTAAGGGGCCATGACAAATGTTAAAAAAATTGTTTCTGTTTTTTTTTCCTTTTTTTTCATTTATTCTTTCTTTGTCTTGTCATGGAAATAAAGAGGCTTATTATTATAAAACTCGACGTCTTCTATCTTAAATACTAATATAAAGAAGAAAGATTTGATTATTTGTTCGTTTGCATTAAGTAGGAATATCGCGAGGAAGGAGCTAAATAAGGGACTTGATTTATATTTTAATTTAATTGGTTGAAAATTAAGACCTAATTTTTTAATTTTTGGTGTCACATGATAAGGCCTTTTAAGTACTTTCTACTTAATGATCACGATGAAATTTATTACAATTTTTACTTCATTATTTTAGAAAATTTATAAACGTACTGTTTTTTCTCTTCATTAAGATGGGTCTGTTCTAAAAAAAACGGTTTGTTCATCATTCTGAAGACATTAAAATCTTATTAAACGCTCACCGCAAGTTTTTTTATATTTTTTTTTCGGTACAGATCATAGAAAAACATTGATCGACGGACAATGACGGAGGTGAACTATGATTTGCGATTTTGCTGGGGCTTTTTTTAAAACAATTATACAGTACCAACAATAGCACTTATTTATTTGGTAGGTAACCTTTGTTTTTATCTACCGGCAAGTAATGACTGTGTTCCACCTTTTTTATAGTGAGCACAAGGAAAATATCGAAACAGAAGTAATAGATACGATGTGTTTATTGATGATTCTTATTTTAACTGCTCGAGCTTTCCAGGGAAGCAGTATGTGATACGTTAGCTTATCTCTATTTTATTGTAAACTTGGTATATACCTATTGATTGAAGTGCTACAATAATTGCCAATATACTTAAATGGTTATAGTTTCATCACTATTCAGAAGATCTTTTCCTTTAGCTTGTCTTTAGTATTATAAGGTAAGGTCTCATTAGCAGTTTTGCATACTTGATTTCTCTAGAAATATCCAACCAAACAGTGAACCGCACAAGAATATTGGAAAATTGTGTACCGTGTGCTTATCAAGTCTCCCAAGTAAATGGTGGGTCCGGTTTGCCGGCCCGTTGTCCAGGTGTCATAGTCGGGCGATGAAGCTGCGGGGAATGCTGTGGGCTTAGATATCGCCTCCACGAAGTAACGCCATGCGCGATCATGGCTGCATAAGTCTGTAATAAGTATGTTTTTAAGAATTTTTAATAATTTCACTACAGAGTACAGACACTTTATGCGGAAAAATATCTCAGAATAGTTTTTATTCTAATAAAAAAATATTTTACTCGGCAATTGCGGCTGAATCGAAACAGAATTAAAGGCTCATAATATCATATGAATGCAACAAACTATTGACTTTAATTCGGCGATCATGAGTCTACTTATAGCCTTCTTTTACAACTTTAACTCGTCTTATGTAACATGTAGTCTGTACAAATATTATAAAGAGGTAAAGTTCTCTAATTTTGTTGGTAGGGGATTATCTTCGCAAATAGTGATTCGATCATGAAAACTTTTTCACTTATGGGAATCTGCATCATACTGGAATGCCAAGCATTATAATTTCTAGAAAAATCACGGTAAAACCGCCAGTACTGGATATAGATTGTTATTTATTGTGAATCTGCGCTAATCTTGTAGGGAAATACTTTAAGCAGGGACTGTGTGGCTCGTCATCTGCATGGATCCGCCGGAAGACTAGTCAAAACACGGATTTCATACCCACAAAACGCGCTTCGGACACATAGACCACATTCAGGTTAAAAGCCACTCTCATAACGGAGCAAACTCTTCTGCAGTATTCATTCACCCACCTTCAGAGCTGAACATATCGAAGTCGCCATTAGGGCAGCCGGGTTGCGTGCCACCGCTACCGGCGTAATTAGGCCATATATCCACTGTTCCTGATGATGTACTGGTGCCGTAACCGCCGGGGTCACTATGCACTATGTCGACGAACCTCGCACAGGTTCTATCTACACCATTGCCAAGAGCAAACGATCCCTCGAAGAGGGCACGCGCCGGATCTAATCCGGTTATACTGCAAAAATATTATTTAAAAAAATTATCAACATAAACGTTTATTGTCATGCTTTACATGTTTATCACACTATTTGCTTTGATCATGTAACCTAACTTGAGATGTTTATTATGCTACACTGGAAAATATTCTTAATGATAAGCCCCAGGTACTCTGAGATAGAACTCGAATCCACGAACTTCCGCATTCCTCCTGGCTAATGTTTTGGATAGCTCAGTGCAGTTGTCCGGATTGTGAAAGGTTGTGGGTTTGAGTCCCATCTTAGTGTTTCGGGGCTGGTGGATTTTTAAGCATTTTTCATTAAGTATATTGAGACATTTTTTTAGGGTATTTATTTCTTATTTTGATATAAACTACAAAATTTACTATGATTTCTTTATTATATTTAAAGCAAATAACACACTTGCTATCTTCTTGTTCTACTGAGTTCTAATTTATTTGGAGTCAGTGTAATTCGTTATTTTCTTCTATTCTGTTAGCCGTCATCTCATAGTTATATTCTTTACTGTCACACAGTCTATTCATATTTTCTGTGGTCTTTGACTTGAATCTTATATATATTATTGTTTTAGAAATCTTAAGCTGATGGTTGTATAATAATAATAATAATCTTTATTTCAAAGATATGACTAACAATACCACAATACTACATGACCACATGTAGTGTATTTCACATCAGAGAATATCAAAAATATGTAGGTAACTAACTCACTTTGAACTTAATTGTTAAATGTGTCAAATTTTAAAACTAGTTCCACTGAAAATGTCTGGAGATATATTGTTAAATTGTATAAGACGGGTATTAACACGATAGATTTCGATAGTTATACTCAAAATGAGTCCAGACTGTATTCTAGCAACAACATCATAATTTATTTAACATGCTTTTTTAGTAATACTGATCTGTTCCCTCACCGTGATACGACATGGCCGTTTTCTCTGGCTCTCTTGCCGGCGTATCCCATAATGTGTGCCCCAAGTGAATGCCCCAGAAGGTGGATCTGTGACATGTTCATGCCAGACCGAGCCATTGTTATCAGAGTTTCTCCTAGCTCTTGACCAATCTGTAAATTGTTTTATAGGTAGGACATATTATACGTTCCAGTCTTTGTATGATAGTTTTTGTATGATATTAGCGATGTTACGTTTGTGGTTTATTTAAAGTTGTTTTAATAAACTGAATATTACGATGAAGGCGTTGACATTAAATTATTTTGTCACCTTTCGAGCAGAACCTTTTTTCTCAAATCAAATAATATTTAATTTATTTGAATGCCGGAAAGTAACTCTTGTTTAATTTCATCCAAATACTTACTATGAAGTTTTTGGTTTGCGTTTGTTGTGGATTCTTAATTCGACGCATAACAGTCTTTACGGATTTTTGATCGCCCAATGTGCTACTTATCTACAAAATTGGTTTGGAGTCTAGGGATAGCTCATACAATTACCTTTTTAGCGTTAGGAACAGCTGATAACGCGTATCCTAGTGGTAGACCGAGAACACCACCCTTCGCTTCTTCTTCCCAGTCGAGAAGAATGACATTCCTCTTCCTGGTTGCCAGGTAGGCGTCCATTATCGCTAAAGTAGCGGGTCCGTTGACTTTGCCGCGGTAACCAAACGTGTAGATTATCGTTGGTAGATTGTGATCGAAGCATGTCGAGTTGATTGATGGCGGTTTATTCAAGGGAGCTATTAAAAAGTTGTCCAGTGATCTGAAACAATTTTGTTAAATTTTAACTGTATGACAAAGGACAGTTATTCTATACCTGATAAATTCATTGTTTTATATTAAGACGTGGTAATTTTTAATTATAATAATTTAAATATGTGTCGATAAGAAAACTAAAATATATATAATTGGCTTGGTGCATAAGAACCCTCATTATAAAAGCCAGAAATGGCGTGAAAGTTTCAGAATAGCCGAACCCGAATCGGCAATGAGCCAGGAGATTGAATGAGTTTCCTACTCATTCAGCAAAAAGTATTATTTTTTCCAAATTATATATTAGTTGGACATGGTAAAGTTAGGCCAAGTCGATTCCAATATTAATTCAATAGTATTTTTCTTGACATAAAAATGCTTATAAAATCCACTTTGTCCCTGGTACTCTAAGATGGGATTCGAGCCCACGACCTTTTCAGTATAGCATTGTTAATGCGAAATTGATCAAATATAATAATTAGAACTTTTCATCTTTATCGAAAGTTTAAAATATTTGTAAAAATATTTCTATCGGCTGTTTGGGTGGATTGCCTGAAAATTTATGTAATTGCGCTCTGTAGTAGCAAAAAAGTAACGAGTGCTTGAAAAATTCATCAGTCTTGTTAGGTCCTGGGTAGCTCAGTCCTAAGAGCAGTGGCCCGGATTACGAAAGGTCAAGGTTTCAAATCCCATCTCAGAGTACCTGGGACAAAGTGGATTTTTTAAGCATTTAAAAAAAAAAACCAGTATAGTACTGTGAATGTGATATTGATCAAAAACCTATAATAAATTGGTTCTTCTCAACGTTTACATTTTAGCAGAGTATAAATTATTTTCGAACTACGAGTTACTAGGTAATTATTGACACCATGTTCAGTTTCTTCTTATTTCATTTGTTTTGGATACAATAAATTTGATATCAGTGATTTGAATAATATCAAGATCATTTACTTTTAAGTTTCATTCTTTTAAAATAATCATCGATTTATTGCTGCTGCTGTTATATTATTAAAAAGAATAACATTTTAATAACCTACAGTTTTGTGGTTAAGGAACCGTTAAACTGAAAATATGTAGTTACTAAGACAGACATTAAATGAGTCCTATTTATATACAAGGTTACCATATTTTTGAAAGACAATGTGCGTGCTTGTTGAGCCATTAAAATTTGATGACTTCGATTAGTGAGTGCTTACAAAGTGTTCGTAAGACGGAAAGTCTTACGATTACTTAAATGTCATGTTTTATCTTTTTGGTTAATCGATCTTGGGTTATAAAAGCGAATCAATTAATAAATATTTGACAACATTCTATACATAAACACAAAGGTATGTAAAACCGAGCGAGAATTGAATTTGGGACTTCAGAAAATTGTTCTCGAGTTCATATCTTTTAATCGTAAGATCCGACAAATAAAACAGACAAACAGAAAATTACGTATGACGCAAATTATAACGGCAATGTTTATTTATAAACGTCAGGCCTATGCTGCTTAGCGATTCATTTAATGGCAAATATTCATTAAAATAAAAGATAATTATATTATTACTAAAAGAAATTGCATATACCAAGCAGAGTCTGAGACGTAACTTGATAATTTTGTTAAGAGCTCAATGTTTTCACTGTTCCATTATATTTGGTTGTTCCTACTAATTTCCGGATTATTCTAATAGTTTTTAACATTATCATGTGCTATGTACCCTATTGTCGTGATGCTATTAAGGTCAGTGCATGAACTTGATAGCTTCATAGGTGACATGACGTCGTTTGAATTCATGTCATGCCGATAACGTGAGGATGATTGCAGTAGAAAACTGAGCTGATTTTTTAATTTTGTCCAAGACATGATTTTTGTTTTGAATTCGTTGGAGTTGCATAGTCGTTTTCCTTTGATATACTTGGTTATTTATTATAATTAATAACACTGTTACAATCCAGTTTTTGAGAATTTTTTACTATTTCTAATACTAGCTGTTCCCGCGATTTCGTCGATGTTAACTATAGCCTACGTCTTCCGCGTTTAATTAATGTATATTTTTATCCGTTAGTAGTGTCTGAGCCTATCGAATAGGCAGAAACAATATATAACATCTTTCTTATTTATAATATTGTTTAGGTTTTTAAATATCAATTCAAAATTGTAAATTATGCAAATTTCTGCTAATACAACAATAAGTCAAGTCGCTCATAAAAAGGAATATATGACGTGTTTCGTAATCATTACTTAAACGCATCGATTTGGGTACTATATCAACTAAGTACTTGTACATTATAAAGAAAGAGAAGGCCAATTAAGCGTGCCACAGTCTAAATTAAATTAAAAATTTCTTACTCTAATTTAGGTTTGTTTTAACTTTATTCTATGTAATCAAAGAACTATTAGCTATACTTTTGCATGTAGTTCTGTTACCTTAGTTAATTTCACAATCCAAAACGCATTTTGATATGATTCTGCGTAACATAAATGCTACCAATGGAAATTAGGATGACTTGAAGCACAATATTACTAATTAATGTGTGCTTATTTCGTACCTAAATATTGCTTTATAATTCGATGAACAGTAATGCTGTTTATTTGTACAAGCTTTTATGTAACTCGCAGTGTATTGAGGAATTCGATGGCTCATTGGTTAGCGCGTTCAATTTTCTTGATGAAATAAAACATTTAGAACCTTTTAAAATAGGTTTTATATTATATAATATATAAATTAACCTCTACTAAATGAGCACTGCACTCGTCGAGTTCTTAGTATTTTATGTATCAGTAGAAATCTTTATACATCAGTACTTAAAATTGTACTAGAAATAATGTGGCAAAACTCGGGAAACATTTAATTCAAGATACGTGTGGTAGCTTATAGTATCTACGCTTCACTACATAGTATAAAACAAAGTCGTTTTCTCTGTCCCAATGTATGTTTAAATCTTTAAAACTACGCAACGGATTTTGATGCGGTTTTTTTTCATAGATCGGGTGATTCAAAAGGAAGGTTTTTATGTGTAATACAAGACCACTCAAGCGAAGCTGCTGGCGGAAAGCTAGTATAATATAAATAAGAAAGATTTTATTGTTTATTTGTTTGCATCGAAAAGGCTCGTCCACTACTGGAACGTTTTCAAAAAATTTTTCTCCTATGGAAAGCTTTACCGTACGCGGGTGTCTTAAACTATACGTAATTTACGCAAACGAAGTCGCGGGAAAAGAGTTAGTTATTAGAAAATACTGTCAAATACACAATGCTTTACAGAAATATTTTTAGCGGGTTTTTATCAGTCACATGGAAAGAGATGTTCAATTTACATAATTATACGACGATTCTACCGTAGGTATGTGTATTGTGAAAGTCTTATAAAAAATATGTAAATAGTATTTATAACCGGAGCATGTGTTGCCGGTTCATCGACGATTTCAGTTACATAAGAACGTGTGCCGAAAATCCAGTTTGGTTGTGGCCTTGACTGTTATATTGTTGCATTTGTTTACGTGTTATATAAAACCGTTACAAATCGTTTTAATTGTGTAAGTATTTATAGATCCGCTTGTTTAGTATTTTATCTATTATGTATTTTGTTAGGGGAAATTGTGCATGAAATATATGATGATTTTGGGATCTGAGATATGCCTTTAGGATATTATTTATCACTTAAGGAACAAATGCTATCGTATCATCCTATTATATTTATTTTAGGTACTGTTTTAATTACATATATGTATTTATATGTTTGTAGAGGTATGTTTATATTATATATGTATATGAAAACATTTTTCTCTCGCTATGTAAGACACCATCTACTATCCATCTATTTAAGTAGCATTTTAGTCTAATTTACGGTTGCCTGGAAGAAATCGTTCTATCGCGATTAGGTCACTGATTGTACAATACAACTATATCAGTTGTCATATTTTATAATTATGGTGTACAATTAAGAATTGATTAATTCATTCATTAAAATATAAATATACTATGCATTTTCTTATCAGTCTCTCTGAATGAAAGGTATAAAGGTATATTACCGATATTTTTTAATTTAAGGCTGATATTATGGGATCGTAAGAATTTTAGTAATTTCTTAAACATACAATATTTTAAATAACTTTGCTAAGTAAATATTTTTATTCACTAAAATACCTAATTTTTTACAAAATAGTTTTCTATGATTTACTCAAGTCTGAAAATAGGAATAGGTTTATTAAAATTCGTGAGGCTCAGTCATCCATCATCAACGTATGATAATTTGATAACATGTGAATACATTGCTGCTACAATGACAGTCATCAGTTACTTATTTATTATAAAGCCCGTAATGGAAGTACAATAGTGACATATACTCAAGATCGGTGTTCCAAGCGTATAAGGTCAGTATTCAAAAATAATACACATGCTTCGGGCTTTTGTTATGACGTGAATCAGTTAGGCAGGTACTTTATGTGAAAATAAAAAAAATATTATCAATTAGGTATAACTGTCACATAAAAACAACGAATAACATCTTTATTTTTAACGCGAATCATACCGTTAACTGTAATTAATCGACTTGGTCTCATTTCCGTGACATTGCAAATGTCAATTGTCACCTTAAGACGAGTTTATTGACCAGGAGATTCAGGAGATGCCTTCGTGAGATGGTGAAAGGTAAAAGATGACGTTACCTCATTGATAATAAGAAAAGTACATATGTGAATGACGATAATACCTTTCACATATTCTTTTGTACGTAATAACCAAAGATAACCTTAAATCTTGAATAAAAATTATTTTAATCAAACTATCATTTTGCACGATGAGAAATCTATATTTACCTTGTGCTTGCAAATGTAATTTTATAAAATGTATTTATGCCTGTGAATGTACTTTTAAATTTCAATGTTATTTTATTTTATGAATATCAAATCAAATTAACGTGGGTGCACACGCAAATTAAGAATTTGAGATAGAACGCTTAGATTTGGCATGAGGTGAAACGGCAAGGTTTCGTTCTTTTTGACCGTCAAGTGAATGGTAACAGTTTTCAAACAGATTTCAAATCAAAAAGGAGGAGGTCCGACTAGCATTGTATATTTTTAATCAATTTTTAACTAAGAAAAATAAAATAAACAAGTCAATGTCAATGTGTATTTATAATATTTGTTATAAGCGCAAAACGTGTATTTGTCATAAAAGAAATTCATAAAAAAAAAACCTTTTTTTTTTAGATTCTTCAAGATTAATGTCTCTAAAATTATCATAAAACGACTTGACACATTTTTTTTTGTAAACAAACGAAAGTATATCGATACGAATTGACTTACTTAATTAAAATTCTAATAATTGTGTCTTTTGTAAGTATTTAAAGTTGCAACAGTGTTTCGTTGTAAATTACCGACATACATATAAATTAATCTATATGGAACACCTACCATTGTTTCAACTGTGATATTGGTTAAGGAATGTATTTGGCACGTTATCAACTTTTTTTTAAATCATTGAACCTTTGTTTGACAAAGGTTTAATATATTTAAACTTATGACTTCTTTCTTTAGATCCCTTTTCTTCTAAGTTATGTTATATACATATTTAATGTTATCTATCTTTATTAAAAGCAAATTTATCTACATAATAATTAAAAGAACGGCTATTATGAGTCTTCTTTTAGTTTTTTCTTAGTGATAACTTTAAAAAATTCTATGGAGTATATAGAAATTTTAATAAAAATCATAGGAAAGCAAAGTGCTATTTTGTTTACTTCGACGACATCAGTATCTCGTCTTTCTGAGTGATTAGCAGAGGTCGGAATTAGGTAGAGTTATTTATGTACTTGCATCGAAATGTTGATATTAATGTGGATCTTCCCAGGATTTCTTTATTTCTTCTTTATTTCATCGATGTAAGTTTGGCAACGTCGTGCATGCAGTAGTTTAAATTGTGTGAAAGAAAATAACTTTTTATTTAAAAAGTCACGGGATTTTTTCTGCTCTTTAAAATTAATCTCGAGATTTGGGGCACATCCACTTTATTCTTTCGCTGTATGAAATTAGTGTAAGTACATGAATTACTCTACCTAATTCCGACCACTGGTGATAAGTTATTATTATTATTATCATTAACAATTTGTTTTACAATTGTATTCGAATGGTACAAGAACAAAAGTAGTAAAAGTAAACGTTATTTGGTAGATTCACTTATATACTCTATTATCTATGCAAATATAATAAAATGGAAATATTTGTTTATATTGCAATAGGCTCCGAAGCTGACCGATTACAATAACTCTTTCACCTACGGGTAGCTACATGGGCGACACAGGCTGTGATAAAACGTTGTGAGAAAATAGCTAGTTTTGTAATAAAACAAAATTAAACACAATATAAAATTATGGAGCCACCTCAGGCCCATAAAGTTTATGTAAGTATAAAAACAATATTGAAAATCGGTTTACATATGACGGAGTAATTGACGGACAGATATAAAGTTATGTATGTGTCGAACATAACCTTCGCCTTTGTTTTAAGTTGTTTATAAAGGACTAGCTATCGTCCGCGTGGACCCTAGGGAAATGTTTAGTGGGATAAAAAGTATCCTATTATCTAAGTCAGCTAACACCCTATCTGTATAACAAAATTTCATCAGAATCCGTTCAGTAGTTTGACCGAAAAACATCCAAACAAAGAAACTTCCACATTTATAATATTAATAGGATAATAGGATGTTAAAGGATATTATTTTAATGTGTAAAATAATATTTTTATTGATATTCCAGACCTTGAAACATAAAATCTATTATAAATATTCATTGAAAACATATTGTTTATACATATAATAACATATTGTTTGCCAAATAGAATATAATTAAGATTTGATAGTAGGAAGATAATAACAAGGCAGAGCTCTATAGATGCAAGAAACTTCCTGATGAATAATTACCAAGTATTCTATTTGAAACTAATTTACATAAATGTCGTGTAGAATATTGTTTTTATTTGTAGAAAGAGTTTATGACAGTTAAAATGACGCATTTGAATAAAGCATTGAAAGACGCGGCATAAGAAATGTACACAAAATTGAATTTGTATTTTTTTACATCGTATAATGGTCTAAACCAAAATTCGTAATTAAAAGATAAGAAAAAAGTTCTTTTCTTTTTTCCTTCTTTTTATTAGTTAGTATAGGAGTTGCTCAACCTCTGAAAAAGTAACCAGACACCTTCAGGGGAAGATCCTACCACCATAAACGCAAACAAATTACCTAACCTACCTATATCAAAGCTTAAAAGCACTACATAATCAGAATACATTCTGAGTAATTACCACTACACAAAAAAATAATACGGTACCAAGTAAAAACAAAAAACTATTTTTATGTGAGATAAAAAAGAAATATAAAAAAACGTCCTGCTGTATCCGGCAGTCTTTGGCAACTATAATTTGTGTGCTATTATTAAAACAAGTTAATAAATATATAATGTACATATGACATTAAAAAAACCTTTTAAATATGTTCTGTTGACAATCGTTATCCCATTTATGGGTATACTAGCTTTCCGCCGCGTGGTCCTGCATATTACATAATAACTTTCATTGCAAATCACCCTATCTATCCAAAAGAACCGCATCCAAATCCGTTGCGTAGTTTTAAAGATCTAAACATACATAGGAACACACAGACGGAAAGCGATATTTGTTTTATACTATGTATTAATTATATTTTTACCGGTTAACGGAATAAGGGTTAAGAGTGATATCTACGTTCTATTAATAACATATTTTTTCCTTGTATACGTTAGTAATCTAGGTCAACCTCATCTAAGGAGTTTCTTATCCGGAAAAAAACATTATTAAAATATATTGTGTGTTTTAGGAATTAATAGCTTAACAGTTTTTAAAAAAGAGGTGGTGAGCGACTCTATAACATTTAATAATTTTGTCTGAAAGTGAGAATGGTACTTACCCTTTGTAACATCTTAAATAAGCAGCAATACCCGGTTGTAAGATATCTGTAACGATATTAACGTATATATACCTTGATAGATAATGAAAAAAGTTTTATTACACAATGTGCGTTAAATTATAGAATATCGACTAACTCAATAGAATTGTTGCCACCAGAAGAAATATCTGCATTTTGATTTTAATACTACGCGATGGTTTCATGGGTTTCAATTGTTTCGATTCTTTTTTTAACCGATTTCGAAATCGCAAAGGATTATTTTTAGAACCCGCGTTTTAATTTTTAACCGCACGTTTAAGGTTGCGTTTGAACGTGGTTACGTCTGAACAGCCCGCTACTTAACTCGATAATGCGCGAAGAGTTAAAATGCGTTCGAGTTCATATACCTCGTACATAATTGCAGTCAAGTTTAATCATAGCTTTTTTATAGAGGCGAAAGTAGTAAGCTTATTGAAAGAACTTGAATTGTCCAATGTTTAATACAAGTTCAGGAAGTCTTTGGCTGATAAGAAGAATAGAGGAGTAGTGACACTTAACTACATAAACTATGTCATTACCAAAGTAATATCAATGCAGAATATTGTGCATACCTTTTTTCAGTGTAGGGAAAATGCGTTATTAGACATCTTTACCATTTTGCCATCGACATATTTCACATATACGTGGTCCATTTTTAAGAACCAACATCTGAAATTCTAAGAGGTGTACCAGAATACTTATGGTTAGTTGAATGAATTAACTTTAACAATAACAAACATGTTAAAGTGTCGGCTAAGCAAATAATAATGCGTTATCGTTTGGCAATGGTTGGATATCGTCATAACTTTAACTGAAAACTATAACCACCTAATTATTATATTAGAACAATTTCGAATTCACAATGCTACACTGAAAAATATTTTTAACGAAAAATGCTTAAAAAATCCACTTGGTCCCTGGCACCCTGATATGGGATTCGAACCTATGACCTTTCCCAATCCGAGCGACTGCTCTAACCACTGAGCTTAATGAAAAATGCTTCAAATATCTTAAAAAATCAAGAATATTTTCCAGTATAGCATTGTGCATGGAAATTGATCACATATAACAATTATAACAAATTTCGATATTTATCGAAAGTTTAAATATTTTTTAAAATATTTTTTTCTGCTGTTTCGGTGGATTGCCTGAACATTGATGAGAATACGCTCTGTAGTAGCGAAAAAGTAATAAGTGCTTGAAAGATTCATCAGTCTTGTTAGGTCAGTGGTTAGAGCAGTCGCCTAAATTGCGAAAGGTCATGGGTTCCAATCCCATCTCAGAGTGCCAGGGACCAAGTGGATTTATAAGCATTTTTTCATTAAGAATATAACCACCTTAATTTCGCTGGTTAAAGTTATTGTTTTACTATGCTAAGAAAGAGGATGGTGAAACCTTGGTGAAACACATTCCACAGTCAATGTAGAGTCAGCATGAGATGTATTATCAAATTTGATATAAATATTAACTTTAACTGCAATTATGGTGCATGCAACAGAGACGGAGACTGTCTCGTAAAGGACCTGCCCCCAGAAGGATAGTCAAAAGGCAGGTATCTATTAATACCCATGGTCCTTTCTACGGAAAAAAAGTATACATAAAATAGTCCGGTTGGCTCTTGGTCGGTTTTTGTGTTAGATCTAAATGCTGAATATATTGAAATGCTAATAATTTTAAATCAAATAAATAAAAGATGAATGTTATTGGAGAATCATTATTGTTGTTGTTTTTAAAGGGTCAATGAGATGTTCTTACGTCAATAGGTCCGTTACATCTGTGATTATTAGTTAATTTATTTTTACACCTGTGTAGGTATATTCTAAATTTGTAAACATTTTAATGCGTATGAGACATAAATAAGTCCGTAAGATTAGCATATAAATATTTTTATTTTCCATCTTCTTATTAATGAGAAATTGTTGAGATTGCAAATGCGTGTTTTGTGTTTTATATGTGAATAGATAATCACAATATGTTTTTTTTAGGTTTTTAAAAGAGAATTCATAGCGGCAAGGTTTATATGAAATCGTAATATACGAGCTCTTTCATTTGATATGCCTATCATCATCATCATCATCATCATTTCAGCCGAGAGACGCCCACTGCTGGGCATAGGCCTCCCCCAAAGATCTCCAAAACGATCGGTCCTGCGCTTCCCGCATCCAGCGGCTTCCCGCGACCTTCACCAGATCGTCGGTCCACCTTGTGGGGGGCCTGCCAACACTGCGTCTCCCGGTACGCGGTCGCCACTCCAGGACCTTACCGCCCCAACGGCCGTCAGTCCTGCGAGCGATGTGCCCTGCCCACTGCCACTTGAGGTTTGCAATTCTTTGGGCTATGTCGGTGACTTTAGTTCTTCTGCGGATCTCATCATTTCTAATTCGATCTCGCAAAGAAACCCCGAGCATAGCCCTTTCCATTGCCCTCTGAGCGACCTTGAGCTTCCTTATGAGGCCCATCGTAAGCGGCCACGTCTCAGCACCGTATGTCATCACTGGCAACACGCACGAATTAAAGACTTTTGTCTTGAGACACTGCGGTAAATGTTCCGAGAATACACTGCGTAGCTTCCCGAACGCTGCCCAGCCGAGTTGGATCCGTCGACTTACCTCTCTCTGGAAGTTGGATTTACCTAATCGGACTATTTGTCCCAGGTAAAGGTACTCGTCGACAGCTTCCAGTGTAGAGCCTCCAACATTCACTGGAGTGGGTACGACATGGGAGTTTGACATTATTTTTGTCTTCTCCATGTTCATTTTAAGACCCACTTGCTGGGAAACTCTACAGAGGTCTTCGAGCATTGTGCCTAGATCTTCCATGGTCTCAGCCATGACTACGATATCATCAGCGAAACGAAGGTGCGTCATGTACTCGCCGTTTATATTGATGCCAAGTCCTCTCCAATCCAAAAGCTTAAACACGTCCTCCAGAGCGGCAGTGAACAGTTTCGGCGATATAACGTCGCCCTGTCTCACTCCACGCTGAAGTCGTATTGCTTTTGAGTTTTGGTCCTGGAGCCGAACTGACATGGTGGCATTTTCGTACAGTGACTGCAGCACTTGGATGTATCGATAGTCTATTTGGCACCTCTGGAGTGACCTAAGCACGGCCCAGGTCTCGACGGAGTCGAAGGCTTTCTCATAGTCCACAAACGCCAAGGATAGTGGCAGATTATACTCTTCGGTCTTCTGTATAACCTGTCGCAGCGTATGAATGTGGTCTATGGTACTGTAACCTTTTCGGAAACCGGCTTGTTCAGGAGGCTGGAAGTCGTCAAATCTACGTGCGAGACGATTCGTGATGACTCTCGAAAACAGCTTGTACACATGACTCAGAAGCGTGATGGGTCTGTAATTCTTCAATTGGGCCCTGTCGCCCTTTTTGAAGAAAAGCACCACCACGCCCCTGTGCCATGCTTCTGGCGTCTTGCCCTCGAGTATGGCGGAATTAAATAGTTTCTGAAGCGCTTTCCGGACTGGTAGTCCACCCGCTTTCAGAAGTTCCGCTGTGATTCCATCATACCCCGGCGCCTTGTTGTTCTTGAGTTGTTTGAGAGCCACACTAATCTCGTATAGACTGACGTCCGGGATGTCTTCGGTATAATGTCGAGTTAATTTGGCTCTAGGGTCTGTAGCCTCAATGACAGGTTTCTGTGATGTTGTGTATAACTGTCCATAGAAGCGTTCGATCTCCGCCACAAGCTCAGGACGGGATGTAACGACTCTGCCGTCCTCTGTCTTTAGCTTCGTCAGCAAGCTTTGTCCGAGAGACAGATCTCTAGCGAACACTTTGGAGCCTTTATTCCGCTCAATCGCCTCCTTAATACATTGAGTATTAAATTGGCGTATGTCGCGTGTGAGAGACTTCGAGATCTGTCTATTGAGTTGCCGACGAGCATCCTCAGAAGACTGTAGAACCATTTCACGCCTTTCTTCCATTAGCTTGCTTGTCTGCTCCGAGATTTTGCTTCTTTTTTGAGTACGGCGAGGTTTGAGGAATTTTGAACCCACCGTAAGGACAGCTTCTACGACCCTGTCATTGTATTCGTCCACATCCGAGCAGCTCTCCAGGCAATCGAAGCGGTTTTGATCCCTATCATGGCAGTGCACAAATAAAGCCGTTTTCTTGGTTCTACCGCCATCATAGATTTAAAATGATATTATTTAACTAATGAAGAAGTATTTACAAAAAAAACATTAGTTCCCGAAATCAAACAAGATGTCGCTACGGTACTTTCTTGATTTCTCCATGACAACCCTTCTGGTTTTCTTTCAAGTATAAAAGTAAATAAGTTTTCAAAACTCAATAAACAACTCATATTCTATTTGAACTTATTCGTATTTGTATTGATATCTAAGTTTCGAACTTTGCAAATTTCCGTTTATTAACATGTTAGTGAAAAGTAACGGAAATGACTGTCTTTGGTCTATTCGTTTCCGCTAGAGTCGCCATCTAGTGGAGGTGCTTTTGTAGTGCTTTCTTTTTATTTTTAAATAGTTCTTCATTGTGCTTACTAAACTAAATTAAAGTTTGCATTTAATATGCAAATGTTCTGCTCAATCGGTTTAAGATAACTGTTTTAAATACGTTCTATTAAAGACACTTAATTAACTACACGAAAAATACGTACTGCTAATAATTTTCCCTGTATATACCTACATATTATCATCACATCACCAGCCAATTATTGTCCCCATTGCTGAGGCTCAAGTCTTCCTATTGATAGAATCAAAGCAAATATGCGCATAACCCACCACTCTGACCCAGTGCTATGGATTGGTAAGTGTTATTGACTGCAGGTGCATCTGGGTTCAACGGCTGAACGTGTCTTCCAAAGCACCAAGGAGTTTGAGATAATTTTTTTTTATCACCCATCCTATGACTGGCTTTTGTGAAAGTTGCTTAACAACTGTATCGCAGACTGAGCGCACTAACCACTCCGCTGTTGGCTTCCACATTATAAGTAAATATATATAACGGCGGGTAGTTAAAAGGGGCTATTACGAAGCCCAAATAGATTGTCCATATCGGAGGACTATCTTTAAAATAACATTGCAGGCGTGGTATACCAACGTGGATTTGTTCCATTTATCACTTTTCATACGAAAATATAACGAGATGAGCGTGATGTCATAGGATGTCTTTACTTCTCGGCGATCGGAAACAGAATGTGTGCGAAAATGGC